TAACATTGCATAATGAAGAGATTGGGACTTGTGAAACCCATTTCACTAGTTCTATACAAATAGTATCATCCAGCTGCGCATATGTAAATTTCGTAAATGTTCGAAATTTGTAACTGGATTTATTAATCTACAAAAGGCGAATTAATACGTATACTGAATTTCAGAGATATTATACCAACTCGAATTGACGATATCAATAATCTATCTACAATATCCGACGTTCCAAGACATCCTTAGGAAAAGTGTGTAAAATAAATATCATGAAGGATGTCGCTAGTCAGCGCCTGCCTCCCCGATCGTGAAACGGCCTCCTACTCGCATTAGTAACTTGATCGTAAAATGGCGAGCGAGAGTCAAAAGTCTATCGGAAGAAGGCCAAGCAGTTAGTCAGACACAGTCTTTTGTCTGGTATCATATGTACACATCATAGTCGTAAAACATTCCGTACCTGCCAAGCCCTTTGTGGAATATTTGTATACCCCTAATAATAACGTTAAACTTTTAGAAAGTTGTTATCGGTTTGAAAGAAATAAAGACTCCATAATACCTGGCCAGTAGCGAACGACACGTAATCACGAGCTGTTCCAGAATTATGCGTAACTCGAGAATAATTCCTAGTGTGCGTATCACGGAACTAATTTCAAGTGGAAGATACTATTAGGCCACGCGCATACATGCATAGTTTCAGAGAAATATAGAACTTACTAGACGAGATCTTTCCCCATTATTGGATGTATGTTGGAAGCGATCGCGACCAACCATAACAAAATTTAGTCAATTAGACTGTTCAAACTGAAGTAAAACTAAGGAGTGTAATCACTAATTGAAATAATCCAGAATATACACAATCTCACCTGCTGCTATGCAGCATTCTGTTGGACTTCTCATATGGTCTATATCGATCGGAAAAATCTGTCACAAAAAGCATGTTATGATCATGGACTATGTTCGTGTTATGAAAGCAAAGTTGAAAATTTTTGACTACCCGTCGAATTAGATCGCCTCATTTTAGATCTATCTTCTAACTCATCTTTTGAATCAACATCTTTTATAGGTGACAGTTTATCCGTCACTTCATCGAATAATTGGCACAATTTTTCCCCGACGCTTACAGGTAATTCCTAAAAACGTAACGGTGAGTAAGTGCCACCACGCATGCCGCCACGCTTGCTGAATAGCCTTTGTACCTGCCCATCGCGACTAATTTTGACCGGTTTGTTTTCATTCCAAGGGTTACGAATATGGACGGTTTTCTCAAAAGGAAGATTGCCGCTGAAAAAAAAAGGTTTGAGTTGAGACATCATAGCAAAAATGGCATTAGCGGCAGATTGAAACCTTACATTTTTTGCCAGCGCACTCGAAAATTACCACCCAAAGAAGATTCGCTAACTCTGGTCCATGAAGCATGCTCTACAGTTCCAACGTCTGATAGCATATATCCAAACCCTTTTAAAGCAAGTTAAATATTTAGTGAAACACGCCGAGTAACTTTACAAAAATTCCCAGATATAAATTTTACCTTGAAAGTGTCGACTTTCGTTTACGGAAAATATCAGAACGACACGTTCCGCAATCTACGTTTCATTGTTTAATCAGTTAGCATGGTAGCGGTTATCCTTAAGCAACAGACACAAATTCAACGCACCTTGAAGGCCTCGCTAAGAATACTAGCATTTATTGGTTGAGTGGCCCAAACACCCTGCAAAGTAATACATAAAGGGTTAGCCCAAGTCACGTCCTTTCGTTGTGTACGAACGATTATGCTTACACTATTTTGCGACTTCTGCACATTTTGGTGGTTATGGCTTTTCATAATGAAATATCGAACCCCAAATTTTGTATTATTTGATGAAGAGTCGGCTGTACAAATAATATTAGTATCACTTTACAAAAACTATTTCGATATCGTTTACTTTGAGCAACAATCATACCATTACGCCCATTCAAAGTTATTGGTAATATTTCTGTCCGTTGATCGCGATTTTCTATGAAATGGACTTTTCAGCAATTCTACACACATGCATCTCATGCTAATACTGCTTGAAAAGCGAATTCTTCGTACCTATAACGTTTAGGTCAACTCTCCACGAGTGGGAAAGACTACTATCGAACAAGGAGCTCTTGTCGAGCTCCCTAGAAATTTCACGGTTATCTATTTCATAGGTATCGCTTTCTGATCGTCGTCTTCTGCGAACGCTCTCACTCGCTTCCTTGCTTACCTGAGTATGATCTCGAGACTGCAACGAGGCGTCTGCAGTATTCATGGAGTCTATCTCGTCTATCCTTTCTGTGGGAACATCCATAGTTGTATTTGGTTGTTCATTTGTGATGAATATGTCATCAGGTTCATAATCAACAAGGTCCTCGTCCTCGTCTAAAGAACGTGCAAGTGTCTCCCGAGAAACACCAACGAAGTCTCCTGTAACGGACTGATTTCCCATATTTTGATTCTGACGCTTGCAATCTAATTGAATTGCTAAGAGTAAACAAGATTGTTGAGGCGAATGCGTAGTAGTAAATCCTGTAATAGTAAATTTAAACGTGACGTAATCATTCTGGCTGTGATTGTTCTTAACTACGGAATAATAATTACTTCTTTCGTGTAATTATTAAAACAACTTATTGCCTACAGTATTTCGAGACTGTTGTGGTGATAAGACTGAGTGGCGGGTGAGGAACTAGTGAAAGTTTATCCGTTCAGTTAGTAAAGCAAGTACTTGAAAGCATACAGTAATTGGATAATATTTGACGAACGATATTTATTTAAATTTTTAATTAGTTTTAAATTAAAGGTGACTAGTCAAAATACCAAATCGCCCTTCGATTCTATAGAATAGTATGCATTGTTAGTATTATTCGTAGATTCCCTTACTTGGATACGAATGTTGGATTATAGGGATTAGGAAGCCGCAATATTTAATTAATAAGAAACGTCATTTATAGCTAAGCATTCAGTTTTAGTTGATACTGTCGCTGTAGCGACAGCTGAGCTAGGATCTACAGTTGGAAATCTCTCGAGGAAATCTCCCTAATTAAATACGCCGACCGCAACAGCGGTAGGCCTATATTATACATCATAATTCAGCCTCTCATTTATTATTATGTCACACAATACTTTGTCTGGTTTTAAATGTTTTCAGCAATGACTGACAAACTCTACTTTTTATGATCTTGAATGAATGGCAACAGCTAATACTCAGTATCCATTGATTAGCACTCTGGACTCAGCATAATAATAACAGATTCTTTTATTAAAGATCAGTATTCACTGAAAATGAATAAATGAGCTAAGCAGTATATTGAATCATTCCTGATATACATTCTTATTTAATGATAAATGACAATGCCGCACCACATACTAATACACTGCCCTACAATAAATCACTGGATTTGTGTCACATGTTAATGTTGAAAATTTTAATATTAATATTAAGTGACATTGATGATTTTCAAACTTAGGTCCTATTCATTTAAATTTAGGTCTGATATTTAATCTAATATTAATATTAAGTAATGAAAGTGGGAACAAATGGATAATGGACACAATATCAGACTTGTGTCCATTTTGTTCTTCATCAAAAAAGGAAACAAACATGAGCATGAAAATAACATCATCAATTGTTACTAAACCACTCTACTCGCTTATAACGATGTATGGGAAATTGCGATTTCTCATATCCCTCTAAGTGGCATATTTACTAAGACTCTTCTTTCATACTAATTATAATACTGATAAGGTACGTACAATGAAAATAAAAATATGTATACAATGTTTTGAAAGAGCTTTATTATTAATTTATTCAGCATTGACTTTAAATCAACCCTACTATAATACATCAAAAATTGATCATTAATCATAAAATACACACAATAGTAATAGGTATTGTAATTACTAACCTCAGCAAATTTTAAGCCCTGATTTTCAAGGAAATTTAATACATCTGTGTTCTTGGCAAGCTTGATAGCCGTAATTTTGCTGCCAGCTTAAGCTGAAGACATTTATGATTCAATAAAATTTTTTAGCTGTTCCTCTAATACAGTATCTAAAGAGTTTTGAATATTATTTAAATTTTCACTTGTAAATATTATGGGAATAAGAATAGAAAAAATTCAAGCAATATCATGTAGTAGTAGTAATAGTATAAGTAGTAGTAGTAGTAGTAGTGCAAGTGCAATTTCGAGTTTGACTGACAACCAGATTCAAGATATTATAAAATGTTTTCCTGAAACTAAAAATTCTATTAGTATTAGTTGTAGATGATTCTTCTGTTAGAAAGATCGGCGTTACAAATTGTAACGCCGAAGTAAGCACTCCCTCTATCTTATTATTATCATTTCTCTAATTCAGAAAATAATATAAATGAAGAGATAGATAAAGATGTTAAATCTTTATCTGACGATTTATTAAATTCTAACTTGGAATCCTCTGAGGACGATAATTGTGAACGGTTAAAAAGAGCGATTTGATCAGGTGATCATAGTCCTGAGCCGAATATGACAAAATCCAAGTCTGAAACACTCAATTTATTTCTTATATTTTATTGGATTTTAATAGCTGCGGTAGTTAGAAATTAGTTCTCAAAAGATATATAAACGGTCGCTATCCGATCTTATGTACTCATGCTTTATATCTGACTCAACCGAATAGGCCCTGTGCAATAGATACTCTGATATCTTACTCAATCCGAGCGGTGAGCAGAAATCTCTAAGCATCAAAATTGCTGTCGGCATATGATGTTTGGCACATATTGCTTTGAACGTCTAATGCTATTAGCGCCTGATATTTGAGACTGATCATCCCGAACGTCTAATGCTTTTGGTATATGATGTTTATCGCTTAATGAACTGAACGTCGAATATTAATTGCTTTCACAAGCGATTATTGCCTTCAGTATTAGAGGTCCGTGATGACTTGAAAATAAAACAGTTTTTAACTCTCATCCTAAAAATAAATGATTGAAATCCAACAAACTTTATTTACGCATTTAACATGATCGACCCTGCATACAGTCGATTGCTTCGACCACTTGCAATCTTAACTATAAACGGTAAGATAGGCATCCAAAATAGAGGTCCATAAAAGTCAAGCAGTCCTAGAAAAGAAAGTAAACGTTGCACACGGATCGTTTTAATGTTAATGACAAATTTGTTTTGAGAACTAGAGCTTTCGCTTTCAAATAATATATAAATTGCAACTATTTACTTAGTACGATTTTGAAAAATTTGCAAAATAATTTTGGGGAGAAACTTTGTTGCTTCAATGTGAAAAAAATATTTTAAAACACGGTTTTATATGCAACTTCATTATCCGTCAAGAAAAACAAAAAAGTTTCTCTATTTTTTGTAGAGCATCTTTTGTAGTATGTATCGGCACAGACTTTATGGACGTAGCTTGTTTCGTTCAAAAGTTGTCGAGGTTTGAAGTTCGTAAGTTTTTATTACTGAAAGCTTTGCATGTAATTAAAAAAAACCTGCATATTTCGCACACTATTGTCATGACAGCTCTATATCAAAGTCTCGCAGCGCTTATATTAAAAGCAGAGTAATGTCTTATGGAATATTGTACTCAAGCTATCAACAAGTACCTCGTTGCCATCTTTCTTTTTTATTACGTCAGGCTCCTCCAGTTAAATTAACGATATCATAATCTTTTGCGGTAAGCTCAACTGCAACGGTTCGAACACTAATTAATAATGTTTCAATTAACACTTCATTTTTTCGGATATTAATCCAGACAAAACAATAAATCGTAATTATCAACCAATACTGTCCCTGTCCGACTTGTCGAATTTTTAATAAAGGATAGCATGGCCGGAGACTCTTGCTGGGATTATGGTACTGTATACAATTGTGCCAATAAATTTTTGCAGAATCCTAAACTTTCTGAGTAATCCAACATCTCAACTTGAAAGGACTTAATATATAACATTCTTCGACTTAACCACGACTCATCATATACATCAATGTCACTTTGTTAGTTATTAAATCGATGACAATATATCGAGTATCGATAAGTTATTCACTAATATAGCATTGTCACAAAAAAAAAAAAAAACTCAACAAGTCCATAGGTTTATTTTGTGATCTGCACCAGAAGACAAAATCCAAGGATGCGAAGGATGAAATTCACAATACAATACACCTAGCATAACAATTAGCTCAGTATACTCAACGAATTGCATAAATATCAGAATGCAAGTCCACTCACCTAAACTATTAACAATATCATGTCCTCCCTTTAATATCTTCACCGGCACTATCAATGGGTTCTGCAATAAATCGTTATACACCGTTCCATGAAATATCTGAATAGTCCCATCGTCGCTACACGATGCAAACAGTGGAAGCCTCTTATGGAATGCCACACAGCGAGTTGCCATTTTATGGTATCTACACACACACACATAAAGATTAGTTCGCACGAACAAATATGCAAGATAATTAATTTTCGCTTCGCTTACTGAAGAGTTCGATATGGCCTTGCCGACAAATCCAAATCAAACCAACATAATCGCTTGTCATAACTTCCGACAATAACATTATCCCCCATCGGATGAATGTCTATACTCGATATCCATTTGACTCCTGACAAAAGCGTTTTGGAGAGTTCCTGTTTTATCAAATTGTACACGCGAACGTATCTCTGTGTCTGAATATAATAACCAAACAAATTGTGAGAAACCCAGCATTCAATCAGGCAAATATTCAAGTATATTAACTTACGGCCACAAAAAAAATTGGCTTTATCGGATGGAATATCACTCGCTGTATTAAACCTTTAATCTTACGGAATGGTTGCTGACTATGATGCCTCGTCAATTGATGAATTACAATACCCTGTGTTCCAGCTGAAGTAAAAAAGAAACAGAGTAAACCTAACACTCAATGACATAGTCACAAATATTTACGTTGCTTTTGATTTACCATCTGGCGCGAGAGTTGCGAAATAATCGCCCTTGCGATGCCAGGTAACCTGTTTCACAATCTACAAAATAAATTCATGTTTACCATTTCTTCATACCATCACATAATCAGTTGTATTCACTACCTACATGGTCGTGCAGATGTGATATAATGACTACATATCCATATTGTCTTTGGTTTTCTGTTGGTTTAAGCCATTCAACAACACCAGGCTTTTTGTCTTCACAATTGATTGTAAGTTAGAAATTAACAGCAACAAAAGTCATTTGCTTTGATATGTAAATTACCAGCTTTCTGCATATTAAATCCAGCAGACGCATATTTCACTGCAAAATTCGATACTTCTTCACTACACATAAGACGTGGTGATATAAAAGCAACCTTATTTGAACTGCAGATAAATATGATCATGTAAGTCTCATTGGAATCAATCACGTTCTTCGACTTCTCTAGTATACTGCCGAATGACTTACAGCGTCACGGCAAATACCCAGATGTCTTTATTAGGACACCAGGCGATGGAATATACGATATCCTCAACGTCCCACGCCTGCACACATCGACCGGTAGTAACTTCCCACATTCGTATTGTCCGATCATCGGAACCGGAAACTAGCCATAATCCAGTAGGATCGATAGAAAATGTGCGAACACGACCAGTATGACCGTTGTATGACAGGGTGAGAGTGGTTGGAAAAGGCTGCAAGTCTCTCGGGTGAGGAAGCTTAGGAATTAAAGATTCTGGATCGATGTTGAGCTAAAATGAACAAAAATACGAGTCACCGCAAATAAACAAGCGAGAATATTACATAGAATGCGAATATCACTAAAGACAAAAGATATAGGGTCAATTAAAATAAATACAATTTTCCAGAGTGAAGCAACTTACCTTGTTCTTCCGTACGCGAGGGGCTAGATACAAATCAAGACACCTCTCGAATCTATCTTTTAAAAACTTATCATAAGCAGGAACTGCTCGAAGACTCGAATATCTGTTGCAGAGTAAGATAATAGTCATCAATATACTTTAAAAAATTAAAAAAAAAAAAAAAACAAACAAAACAACACAAACTTCTTTGGTAAATAAGATTTATCTCTATCTTCCGGATCCTTTTTCTCCCATTCTTCCTTTTCCTTCTCAGTCAGAACATATTCTTCAGGCGGGTTATAGCTTTCGTCGTGTTCCGGTAGTTTTATTTTGGGGGCAGGCAGATGCATTGGATTATCTGAACGAGATTGTTCGGTATCAGTCCAGAGGTCATAGAATCGGGGCGATTCAGCTTGTCTTTTACGAGGAAGAATGCGGCCTTCCCGTATTGCACGGGCAATTTTCATGATCTTGAGGCAATTATTAGTTCATGAGATTTAATTGTAAACTACAATCGAAGTTATAGTCTACCTTTTTCGCTTCCCAACGAGATGGAACAAATCGTCGTTTTGGTTCTGGGGCAGCAGTTAACGGCATAACCATCGGTTTACTTGTAAACCATTCGAAAGTGGGTTCATATGGATTGTAATATTTATCTGGCATTTCATGCATCTGGATTCTGCGAATTATTTCTAATTCTTCATCCGTCAATTTCACATCTCGCTGCATAAGATCATCCTTGGCAGACATCCTGTAGTTAATAGAAAGACATTTAGTGTCGATATTGACGGAGCCAATTACGTTACTAAGTATAACTTGTAATAATGATCGCTATATCATTACCATGAATCAGGATCATCTAATTTATCTAAGAACTTATCAAGTTCATCTCCTATGGCAGGCTTCATAACCTTTTGCCCATCAATATCATAGCCGATGTGGGGGAAGTCATCGTACCACTCCATTGATATATTTCCGACTGTATTCTGTACCTACAAGTGCAAAAAAAAAAATCGGCTAACGATTCCAGTGAAATAAATCAAGATCATTACGGAATTAATTTATGCGCTTACGTCTTCGGTTGAAGTATCGCTATCGTATACTGGATCAATTTCCGGCCATATTTCACGAAACCGTCCGCTTGGTCCGATGACACCTCGCTCTCCCTCTTCCTTAATAAATGAAATCTTTGCTCAGTATAATTTCATATATGGGATCAAATTTTGACGAGCAGCTTAAAGACCTGTTACATACCTCAAATTCATTATTCTCTTCTCTAATCGCGTCTTCCGCTTCGTCATTTAATTTGTCTCCAATCGCATCTTCTGTAAAATAACAATTATCACTAATAAGAACGTCGTCCGCTGTTGTATTATAAGAAAGATCAGATTTTTTCCTTTTTCTGGCAAGCTCGCGGCAGAGTTGAGTGCGTTTGGTGGGTCTACCCATTGTCAAGCGCAAGAATTTTTGCCTCTGAGATTTTTATTCAAATCGTGTAACATGTTATTTCCATTTGCTTTAAAGCCTCAAGACATTAGCCTACACACCGAAAAAATTGGGTTTGGCTCAAAACGCTATCAGGTGAAAACTTGTTTAAACCGGCGCTGATTAAACCGGTCTCGGGGCCTCACGACTACACCAAATTTCATTAATTAGAAACTTTTTCTAGTTAAATACTGACAGAATATGGTGCAAGACACCTAAAGACGGAAATTTTGTTCTGCGGATCACTTATCGATCACATGACATTCGTCCAATAAATTTCTTTAAAATCATAATACAAATTTATTTGGAAAATTATAACACTTTCGTCTGCAATATTTCAAATTCCGGGTCAAATTCATCTGTGTAAGAACAAAACTTTAATAATAATAATGAACTCGGAATTAATGTTGCAGGTTGAACAGCACATACTTGTGTAATGCATTTAAGAAAATTGATCGAACTAATTTGTTCTTAATTCCTCCCATGCATTTTCGGGGATTCTTCTGTGCGATTTATATTTTCTAGCAGCATATTTAGCTAATTTACCTGTAAATCCATGTTTATACAAATCCATATATCGCCACGTTTTTCGCGCAAATCTACGAATGGTTATTAAATAATCGAGAGCACGAGGAACTGTTTCTTGTAATCCACTCCATGTGTAATTACAATTATTTCGTGCAAATCGTTTGGCTGCTCCCCAATACCGTTCAATTCGCAGTGAAATTTTGGGAAAAATATACAAACGTGACCTGAATCTTCGGTCATTTCAACCAGCGCCGATCTTCGAGCCAAAAAGTCTGGTTGAAGAGAGATATAATCTTTCTTCCGCAACAATCTACACGTAAAGGATCAGTATTCCCATCTCGACATAATCTACATTCGCCTACCATATTTTTTCTCTACAGTCCTCTTTCACTCAAAATCTGCTTTATACCTCTTGGTCGATCGTCGGGAAAATTCATAGTTTGTCTTTCATTATTTGGACCCCAAAAAGTATCCCGCATTTTTGGTGCATTTCCACCAGGTCCAATATTCATTCTCTTCGCAACTAATGCATCAGCTGCAAATGCGGAATGATTTGAACTATTATCAAACGCAAATACTGCAATGCAATTTGGGAATAAAGCCTCAATGGCTTTATATCCGACTTGCTCAATAAGGTGTGTGGCTGTCCAGTATCCTTCTTCATTCGCTCCTGGTTTTAAATATACTCGAGCCTCGTCTGGAACATCAGGATAATTCTCAATATGTTCAGCAGTAAGTTTAAGTCTTCCACAAGCATTACCTTTTTTGCGTAGTGGAAACTCAACCTGATTTAGCCCACGTTCCACGTGTTCCGTCATTTAAATAGAAAATGCATTCATCGTGAACGACTAATATGTGCTCCTTCTCCCCTAAATTTAATATCTATTCATATCTTTTCCTTCATATGTCGCCATATATTTTTCGAACTTGGTTATTTCTGATAAACATAGTTGCCGATATTCAACAACATCTTCTCTCTCATGGCCATCATAATATATTCCTTGTTTGTGTTGCTGATAATGATATCCAAGATCGACGTGCCGTCCTTGTGCTAATCGTCTTGTTGGTCCCTATTTCTGGTAATAGTGATTCTTGCACAAATTCTTTGAATCGGTGCGGTGTTGTATGGCTGCCATTTATACGAATCCACGTATGACATCTTTCTGCTATATCTTCGTCGTCAATTATTCTACTAAGTTTTTGATGTTTTCCTCGACACGATATAGGCAACGTATGATTGTTGTATCAATACTTTGCCATCTCTCGAACCCGGGTAGCTGTCCGCTCACGCTCACTGTTATACACTATCTTTACCGCTTCCATACTTGCCTTCATTTTTTTCTCACCTTTTAGTAAGCGCACTAAGTACTCAAATATAACTCTCTTCTTAACATACTCTTGTGCTGACATTCTATTGAAATATTCCTCTAAATCTTTTTCTAAACTTACGACATCATTCTCTGATGGCAAAGCAAACTCCTCATCTGACAAAACATCTTGTACTGATTCAATTTGTTGATTATTTTCTGCAGCTGGATGATACTATTTGTATAGAACTAGTGAAATGGGTTTCACAAGTCCCAATCTCTTCATTATGCAATGTTA